CGGATAAAGAAGATGTGGCATATATATATATATATATATACATATCTTCTACATATATGTATATATGTGTGTATATATATATATATATACACACACATAGTAGTACATATATATAATGGACTACTACTCAGTCATCAAAAAAAATGAAATCTTGCTCTTTGCAAAGACATGGATGGAACTAGAGAGTATTATGCCAAGTGAAATAAGTCAGTCATAGAAAGACAATTATCATATGATCTCACTCATATCTGGAGTTTAAGAAACAAAACAGAGGATCATAGGGGAAGAGAAGAAAAATAAAACAAGTTGAAATCAGAGAGGGAGACAAACCGTAACAGACTCTTCATAGGAAACAAACTGAGGGCTTGCTGGAGGGGAGGCCAGTGGGAGGATGGGGTAACTGGGTGATGGATATTAAGGAGGGCACGTGATGTACTGAGCACTGGGTATTATATGGGACTGATGAATCACTGACCTCTACCTCTGAAACCAATGATACATGTTAATAATTGAATTTAAGTAACATTAAAAAATAAATTTAAAAAATTGCATTTTATAAGGGAGCAAAAAAGGTATCTAACTCATGAATAAATTTAGATGAAAACTATTCTTATGTTCTTATATTCACGTGCATATGTTGTAAAAACTTTTCTGGAAGTCATTTTGGCAAAAAATATAAAGCCAGTTAATGTATATATACTTTGAACCAGTGATTCCACCTCTAGGATTTTATTCAAATTAAATAAGTATGCTACAACATTTATTCACGGTCATTCATAAAAATTGGAAACAATCTAAAGAACCATCAATAACAACTTTAGAATACATTACATAACCATAAAGGAATGCACAATTCATATTTTAATTGGCATGAAAAGATATTCAACTGAAAAGACCAGGTGATAGAAGAATACGTGTAACCTGGACATTTTTATGTGAATAGAAAAAGTAGTATAGAAAAGAATGCCAACTATTAACAATGACTTTGGTTGAGTTCAGGAGAGTAGAGAATACTTTGGGATATGAGCACTTACAGGAGTCTTTTTAAAAAATATTTATTAAAAAATATTTTCTTGTCATATTAAATTCCTAACATTCTAATATAAGGAAAAAAGTCGATCATTTACTATTAATGTTTTTGCACAAAAATTTTATGAGTTTTTGTGGAATTATGATTCAGCATTGAGCTTTACGAAATTATTCTAAAAATAGTTTATTTTTCAATGTAATTTTTAATCACTCTAAGCATAGTAAAATATCCCCAAAATATTAATGATTATGTTCCTGTTATACTCCCAGGTGCTAAATCCTTTGCTGCCATCTGTTGGAAGTCGGTTACAAATGCATGTGGAAAAGACTTCTGAAATTAGAAAAACAAGGAAAAATTCCATTCTCACAGAAGTGCAATGCTAAAGCAAAATCAGATTTGCTGCATAGTGTTGAAGAATTTGTTTTATTCATATTATCTACAGCTGGATTCTGGCCTCAGTTTCTTTGAAAATCCTGCAATGGCTGGGCTTTCCTTAATGCTGCATCATAATTCCACGAAAACTCATAAAATTTTTGTGCAAAAACATTAATAGTTTGTCTCTTCTAACTCCAAACCAGATTTGTCTTAAGGGGAAGGTTCACAAAGCAAGAATGTTCCGAGCAATTCCAAAAAGGTAGATGAAAGAGGGAGCTACACTTGGAAGAAATGAAATGTAAAATTATCTTACACAGCGTGGGCTAAGAGATCACAAAAGAAAGAATACGCTAGCTCAACTTCCCAAGTAAGAATAAGGTCACTGTGTATGTGAAAACATTATTAAAATCGAAGATAGCACATCATAAAGTCTGTATAATAAACCAGTCTTGTCTGACTTTTCACCGGCGAAAATAGTCACCTGGTTACCACGTTGAATAATATTTTTTTCAAACTTACCTGAGTCTCAAGATGTTACAGTATACATTCTGGTATAATTGACTAGAAGTGGCCAGCTTCCTTCACTTATCAGAAGCTGGCAAATACTTTTAATCAGTGTATTTGATTGTTGCTGGCTTCCCTCCAGATTCTAAGACTTCCCTTCTATAAGCTCTCGCCCCACAAGTTGGCACCGGTATTGAGAAATGCACTTGTATCTTGAGTGCTTACTCTCTCTCTCTCTCTCTCTCTTCTGACATGTGCATTCAGTGTTCAGTGTATATTTAGTTTTTATCAATTGGCACCTATTGCTTTTTTGTAGTGCACTTCTCAAGATGTTAGACAGGTGCTTTATTTATTCACCCAGGGCTGGCTGTGAGTACAAGATCCTTTGTGTCTCTCTAACTGCCAGTCCCAGGACAATAAACAATTTGTCTGATGAGGGAGGGGGAGGGGAATCTTTTGAAAAAGAGTCACTCCTCAGTTGCTTCTTGACTGGTAATAGATCTCCTCACTCCCCTTGTCACCCAAAAGGCAGCACACTATCACTTTGTTCGATGCTTAAATCCACAGTGAGATGGATTCCATATCCACAGACCATTTCCTCTGCTTAAAATATACTTCTGATCCCTCCAATTTCCTAAACTCACTAATCAAGTCACATTTAGCTTTCTCTGTGAAAACCTTGTCGTGCCTCCAGGAAGACTTCTGTGCTGTCTCCTGAGACCTTCTCTCTCTGTGCTTCTACAGAGAAATTAGCACAATGTATAATCATCGTGTGTTTACCCAACCTTCCAGCTGTCTCTGTTCTATAAGATCCCTAGGCAGAGAACCAGTGTAGTTGATATTTGAACTCCCCAAATCTGATCCAGAATGTTATTGATATGGGTGTATGAAGGAATGAAGGAGTGAAGGCAAGGTTGAGAAATTAAAGGGCATAAACTCAAAAAATATTTGCTAAGCAAATAAGTCTGAGTTCAAATGTATATTTGAAAAAAGAAAAATAAATTTAAAAAAAACCTAAGTTACTAAAATTTTGTGTGTTGTAGTGGTTTTTAATATTTATTTATTTATTTATTTATTTATTTATTTATTTATTTATTTATTTATTTATTTGAGAGAGAGAGCATGCACTAATAGGGGGCAGAGGGAGAGGGAGAAGGGAAGTGGGGCTCGATCTCAGGGCATGGGATCATGGCCTGAGCAGAAGGCAGATATTTAAAAGACTGACCACTCACACAGCCCATGTTTTTACTTTTTTAATTGAATATATGTGGCTTTGTTCTGGAATAGTCTAAAAATTATTTTTCAGGTTAAAATGCTATTCATGATTTCTTTCATTCAACAATTATGTATTTATTACAAACTATGTGTTAGATAAAATCATAGCATTAAATCAGATATTATGTTATTATTGACATATACTGAAGCTACCTGAAAATCTTGATAAAGTGCATAATCTTTTGCTGCTTATGGTAATAGTAGAAAAATACAAAAAATAAAAAATAAAAGAATAGTAGAAAAATACTGTGCTTTAGGTTTTGTGTAGAAATAGAATTGAGTTCAGGTTGTCTTTGTTAACTGTAACTTTGTAAGACATAGCTTGACATCGTTTATTAATTATTTTGTTCTAAGTTGAAAGTAAAAATCTAGTAGGTTCTATAGAAAGGCTCTTATAGGTTTTTTCATTAATGCTTTTTGTGAATTTTATTTTCTTAATATCTAGATGAATAGATGAATCTAAAAGTCATAGCTAGATGAAAACTACATATTAGTTGGATAAAAAATGAACAGAGTCTTTTGAATGAATATAAATATCCAACATGACCAAATTAGGATTTCACATATTAGGATGATGTGGATTCTATCCTCTCACTGTGGGCACAGGTACCACGATGGAATCACATTTGTTTATTAATAACTTACATGAATTAGAAAGTTAACAGTAACTGGTCGGAATGGGGAATCTTTGTCTTATGCAATGACTCACTCAAAACTGTTTGAAAACATCAAAAATAAGCCAATGTTGGTAAACTGACTTTTCCAAACAAGTTGAATATGGTGGACCAAACACAATTCTGAAAAAAATTTGAATTGTAAATGTTGCAAATGTCGCTAAAAGCATAATCCTAACTAAATTTCATATTCATTATGCACATTTAGCTTTCAAGGCGTTCATTTATTAAATCTGTATGTCAGTGTGATTTGTGTACAAATAATTGCTGAATAAGTGAAAAATGAATGAACTTTAGAGATACGGGAAAAAAAAATACCAGGGACAACTTTAATTACTGGTCAATGAATTCACTTGGACAATTTAGCTAGGATTAAATATCTTTTCGATCAGAAACAGTAGAAATCCATGTTATTTTGAAGTCTTTAGAGAAGTGTTCCTGTCTTTTGCTTATTTCGGGATTCCCTTCGCTAATTAAACGACGTTGATTGGCCCTCCGGTCCGGGGACCCTGTTGTTCATTGACTAGTTTGACTCCAACCACAGTATCCTCTTCGTATGCAAAGGAGGAAACTGTGCATTAAAGAAACACCTGGAACAGGCTTCCAGCCGTGTCAGCAGGGGACGACCTCTGCCCAGGTCTTTGTGGCTGAGCAGTCTTGCAGGTATCCGGCCTGCGTCATTTCGCACGGTCACCGCAACCCCGTAAGGTGACTTTGTTTTCCCCGCAGAAGAGGAAACCGCAGCATAATCTGCGTGCATGACGTCACACGGGCATAGCCGCAGGGAGCGCCAGGTCCTCAGCCTGCAGATTCACCCCCGGCTCCTCGGGCGCCTCGGTCACTTCGCCCTCCGCTCCGTACGCGGTTCCGGGCCGCAGGACCCCCCACCGTAGCGGCGGCAAGACGGTGGCCGCGCTCCGGGCTCAAGCAGCAGGTGGAGGTGAGCGGCCCCTCGCAGCGCGGGGCCGCGGGGCCCGTCTCCTGGGCAACAGCCGCCGCGCCGCGGGCGCGAACGCCGCTCAGTCCCCCAAGCCCGGGGTGACGTCACTTCCTCCGTCTGCGCGGTTGCCCCAGCGACGCGTCCTGCGGAAGAGCGCCGTGGGGTCCGCGAGAGCCGCGGCGGAGTCACTTCCTCCCGGAGACGCTGTTGCCCGGCAACCGCCTCCCGAGTCCGCTCTTCGTCCGTCCCCTGCGCTCAGCCCCGGTCGGTCTCCGTCCTCGGGCAGCCCCGGGCCGCGGCGAGAGGCTCCTGCCCAGGCCGCGCCCGCCCCAGGGCCGGCTGCGACTGCGGCTGCGGTGCGTACGGGCAGCGCGGGGCGGGGGCCGGGGAGACGCGGCGTGGACGGCGCTCGGGCCTGCGGGGGCGGGGAGCCGGGCGGCGGGCGGCGGGGGCCTGCGGGGCGGGGGGGAGCCGGGCGGGGGGAGGGTCCCCGGGGCGCTGGGGGCCGGGGAGGGCGGATGGGAGGGTCCCCGGGGTCAGGGAGCCGGGCGGGGGGCGGCGGGGCCTGGGCGCCACCGGGCGGGGGGAGGGTCCCCGGGGCTGGAGGGTCCCCGGGCGCGGGGAGCGGGGCGGCGGGGGGCCCAGGCCTCGGCTCCCGGCAGGAGCAAGGTGCGGGCCGCCTGGTGCGGTGACCTGACGGCTCCGCGGCCGCCCGCCCGGGCCCCCGCAGGTGGGCACCGCAGCTTGTGGGGGCGTCGTCGGCCCCCCCCCCCGCTCGGCCCCCCCCCCGCTCGGCCCCCCCCCCGCTCGGCCCCGGCTCGGCCCCCGGCTCGGCCCCCGGCTCGGCCGGTGGGGGCCGGTCCCCGTGGCAGGCCTGTCACGGCGGCTCCGTTCCGTGGGCCTGGGTTTAGGCTGTGAACGGAGGAGAGGTGAAGAATAAAGGTGTTGCATTTTAATCGGCAACATTTTATTAAGCTGTTGCGGACATTTCTTGGCTCATCTTTAAAATAATCGCAAAACTCTCAGGATGACTTAACTCGGACTTCTCTCGTTTTGATGACAGACTCGTGAGAATTTTATGTTTCTTTAGGGGAACTCTGCATATTGAGGTGAATATGTAGTGCGGTGTTCATAAATGTTTTTCTTAATTGTTTTTGTTTGTTTGTTTGCTCTTTTTGTGTGTGTGTGTGTGCTAAAGGGTAGTAATAGAAATTCTCCAATATGCAAAAAAAAAAAAAAAACAAAAAAAAAACCTCTCATTTGTTTTTTTATATATTTCAGATCCGGTCAGAGTTTGAATCTCTTAGCTGTTTTATAAAGCTAAAAAGTAAGAAGCAAAACAAAAACCGAAAAGACACTATGTCTGATGAAGTTTTTAGCACAATTTTAGCTTATACAAAGAGTCCAAAAGTCACCAAAAGGACTACTTTCCAGGTAAAGTGTTTCAAGACATTTTTATTTTGAGTGATTCTACAAGATAAGCACTGTGTTAGGAATGTTGGGCTTGAAATGATTCTAGGGAACGGCTCTGTATAATACAGGAATAACGAATCTTGCATTATTTTGGAAGTTTTGCAGATGATCCCATTTGGGCTCAAGTATTACCAGCTCTTCTCTGTGGCTTTCAGACCACTAACCTAGCTTCAGTACTAGGTTTTTACTAAGTTAAAAGTTTAAATCACCTAGCAACTTTAGCAACTTTAAATTTACATATTTTTAAGGTTTTTTTTTTTTTTCTGTTGTAATATAATAACAGTTCAGTTTTCTCAGTTCAGGTCACTACAATTTTAAACTCAGCCTCTAAGTTTGCAGTGTTGATTACCTTTATTACTGCAATGTGCTAAAACAAAAGATCTTAAAACTGGCAGTTTCTTCCAAAGTGCAGCTCATAATAAATCTGTCTAAATGGAGTCCTGTTTCTTATTCTCCTGCCCTAAATACACCCTGTAATTAATTTCTTTGCCATTGCCTGTCTCTTTCAATTTAACTGTAAGCTCCATAAGGAGAAGGATCTTGTCTGTGATGTTACACATTGAATCTGAGGGCTTGGGTGCATGGCATAAGGTAGGCTTTCATTGAATATTTGTTATATGAATGAAACCTGAGTTTGAAAGCAATTATTAATCCAGCATTGTTTGTTTAAAGAATTAATTCTAGATAGGAGTCTTCAGTGTTTGGGTGGAAATTGATCTTCATTATCTCCTTTCAGGATGAGCTAATAAAAGCAATTACAGCTCGCTCAGCCAGGCAAAGGAGTTCTGAATACTCAGATGACTTTGACAGTGATGAAATTGGTATGTGTGAATATGGAAAAGTAAAAACATTTTCTCTTTTTGCTTCCTTAGTTGCATTTAGCCCATCCCTTCAAAAACAATCACTTATGTTAAAATAATACCTATAAACAAACTGGTTTTAAATTTCCAATTTTTTAATGAGTAAAAAGCCACTCGTAATCTTCAAGAAGTTGTATAATTGTCTTTGTTTATTTCTGAACGTGTATACAGAAAATATAAATTAATTGATATCAGGTTTGCAGTAAAAGGATGCCTGTCGGTTGTAAGCCATGTTGGACACAATGTCAATGAGACCCTATAGTGAATTGGAAACTAGGGCCCATAGAACTAAACTTTGGTGCATGTCAGAATCACTTTTGTAGTGCTTTTTGTAAATCAATTTTTTTTGGCTGTTGTAATACGGGCTCAGTTTTAAAAGCCTGGTGTATCAGTGCTGGTATGACTTAATCTGGTCTCTCTTGATTATGTAAGAGTATTCACCAGTTTCAGATGTAAGTACACAGAATTCTAAACTTGAAATTCAATGTTTTATACTTTAATATTCAGTGAGTAACTTTTAATGTTCTCTGTAAAAATAATCAGAACAATAGTTAAAACATTGCTGTATTGTTAAGTTAGCATTCTTTATTCTTCTCACAGTAAAATCGAATACTCTGGTATGGATGAAATTGTAGTTGTGAAATTTTTATGGAAAAAACATAATTAGCAAATAACTAGTAAAATTCCTCCACTTACCAGTGTTTCTTTTTATTTTATATGGTGAAGTCATCTGGAAATAAAAGCTCTATAGTCCAAAACCTAATTTAAATATCCTATGTCATTGTTATTTTGAGGAACCTTTGGATGACTTCTCAGAGAAAGCAGAGGGTTTGGCACACTCAATAAATATGTCTTGAAAAAAATTTATGAAATTGAAATTTTTATTTCATAAATACCAGTGAAAACTGCCTAAGTTAGCCGTGTTTTAGAGCTGCAGATCTATTTGTAAAACAGACTTGCATCCATTCATGGTTGTAAATTCATTTCTAGTCTCTTAAGGTAATCTTTTTGATTCATATAACTTTCACAACTTTAAAAGAGACTATTGAAAACATTTTTTCTCTTCCATTTTTCAGTTTCCTTAGGTGATTTTTCGGACACCTCAGTAGATGAAAATTCAAATAAGAAAAAAATGAATGATTTCCATATATCAGATGATGACGAAAATAATTCTCCAAAACTGTCTTTTATGAAAACCAAGAAATCAAACAGTGACATAATGAAAGATGAGCCAGTATTCTCCACCAAAAACGATGAGGAAATGGCACCTGACGGTTGTGGAAACATGGTTGGAACTCCTTTATCTGAATCTCAAAATAATGACCAAGAAATTGAAAAAGACAAAATTAGGATGAAACCTAAGCCCAGAATTCTTCCTGTCAAAAGCATGTCTTCAGGTAATTCACGTTAGTATAATTGCATTTCTTTGAAACTTATTTATCTATTTATTTTAAGATTTTAGTTATTTATTTGAGAGAGTGCAAGCATACGAGTGGGGGCAGGGGCAGAAGCAGAGGGCGAAGCAGGCTCCCCGCTGAACAGGGAGCCTGATACAGGGCTGGATCCCAGCACCCTGAGATCATTATCTGAGCCAAAGGCAGACACCTACTCAACTGAGGCACCCAGATGCCTATTGAAAACTTATTTTAAGATAATCATGAAATATCTTTATATGATAGCTAGTAAATATTTTTAAAATAGACTTTTTAATTTTAGAGTTATAAGTCAAAATAATGGAACCATAGAGAAAACTCATAGTTCTGATGTCCAGTTGCATGTCAGTCTTGCATCTATACTGGTTCCTGATAGAAGGCCAGAGTGCCTTGTCCAGTCCAGTCTTGCAAGGCCTTTGGGCTTCAGTTTTGTTTTTAAGGATGGGACTGCAATGCAGTCCTTTCTAATCCATCTTACACTCCAGTAATTAGAGTAACAGCAGCATTGGAACATGTCCTTCAGACAATCATTTCCATGTCGTCATTTGCCAGAAAATTTTTTTTTTTTTTTTATATTTGAGTATGTGAAGGGAGAGAGTTTCATTGTTGGTGCTGTTATCTAAGCCTCCAACTTTTCTTAAGAGAATCTCCATTTAGTTTCTCTGTTCCCTGGGAAAATCTACTGAAACCGTTTTCTGATGGAAGCTCCTGGTGTGATTGGGAGTACAGTGGTTTCTCCACAATTCTGAGCTCTAGGCACAGTGGTGCAAAGATGGAGTGAAGCAGGAACCAGCCTCTCTGAGGTCCCATGGGCCACCACACAGAAACACAGCCATAGAGGTTTAAGGGTTTGGTGTCTTCCAGTCATTATTCCTGTATTATAGAAAAAATATTACAAAAATAAAATCATAAAAATCTCTTTCCTTTATGTCATCATTAAATACTCTACTGGTAAATATTACATACTTCACATACTAGATATCACTGGTAACGTCAGATAGAACATTATTTCACACGTATGTTAGGGAACCAGTCTTTCCCCAATAATCTCATTAACTTTCAAACACGAACAGAGCAGGGACCACTAGGAAAAAAGCCACTGTATGTTAATTATATGTGACCTTGGCAAACAGGGTAAGCTTTATTGTCATGAGGAGGAGGATACAACCTGCTCTTCTTATTCTACAGAATTGTTTTCAGAATCTATTGAAGTGTATCTCAGAAACTATACAGTTCTACCAAAAATATAAGCATGAGACATAATGAAACAGAATTAAGTTGCTAAAGTGAACCTTCCCAGCGTGCTGAATAGGATCTGAGATGGAGAGAACGGGAACATAGTGGAACTTGGTGAATAATCCAGTAGTTCACCATTTCCCTAAGTACAGAATTCGGGGTTCAGCAGTTGGCTCATTGGTATTATTGGAAAAATACAGAATCATAGAAATTTTAAAGTAATTTCCTTATGAGAAAACTTCTTGGAGCCATTATTAAAGAAAAATGAATGAAGAGGGGCACCGGGGTGGCTCAGTGGTTGACTCTTTGCCTTTGGCTCAGGTGGTGATCCCGGGATGGATCCCCGGATCGAGTCCCACATCAGGCTCCCTGCATGGAGCCTGCTTCTCCCTCTGCTTATGTCTCTGCCTCTCTCTTTGTGTCTCTCATGAATAAATATATAAGATCTTTAAAAAAAAAAAAAGGAAATATGAATGAGGAATCTTCAAGAAGGATATAGCAGACAATGTTTCCTCATCCCCATGAATTCAGAAATCTTATTTTTGTGTATTATATCTATCCTGTTTGTCTCGATTCTGAAAAACTTTTCGTAAGAAAATCTTACATTAAGAAAATGTATTCATACAGAAGCTAAAATTTGGTCTGATATGGGCAGAAGTATATAATTAGAATTAGAGCTTTATGGTAGATAATCATCAATAATCCACCTATTTAATACCTTTTTTTTAAAAAGCTGTGACCGGGCAGCCCGGGTGGCTTAGCAGTTTAGCGCCGCCTTCAGCCCAGGGCCTGATCCTGGGGTCCCAGGATCGAGTCCCACATCAGGCTCCCTGCATGGAGCCTGCTTCTCCCTCTGCCTGTGTCTCTGCCTCTCTCTCTCATGAATGAATAAAATCTTTAAAAATAAATAAAAATAAATAAAAATGAAAAGCTGTGACAAATTAAAATGAACAGAGAAATACTGTCCTTAAACCACAAGATGGCACCAGGATTCTAAATACTATACCCAAATGTGCAATACTATATTTCTAAAGTCATAAGCATTTACCATTCACTATATGTTAAATAAAAATAATTACTAAACACAGGTAATCATTTACATTTAGTTATAAAAGAAAGCATTTTGAAAATGTATAGATTTCTATTCTTTTGGAAAACTTGACAATACTTCTGGAAGTGGAATTTTCACATAAAATATGTTAAAGGCATTATTCCTAGGCTCTTCAGACTGAAGAAAAAAATTGAGGCTGGTGATTAGTGCCTGGCATATACAATTTAACAGATATTTTAATGTATAAATGAATAAATGAATGATTCATTCATGAAAGAAGGAGTGTGATTCACAAGCTAAGCTTTATCCTTCCCTAAATTTTTAGACATTTTCTTTTTCCTACAAAGTTTGGAACTTAATGTTTTTAATGTGGTGAGACATTGCTGAGTAGCAATGAATCCTTTATGAAAATATTGGAACCTGGAAGTTTCCTTTGTTCTTGGCTGTCTTTTGTTAAAAGTGCAATAACTAGACTCTTTCACTTTTTTAAGCAACTTGTCACATGGGTAGTGATTGCAGGAAGTAATTTTTACAGGGTATGTTGCTTTTAACATTTAAATGACTAAAGTCATAAACTTTGGGTGCTCTTGCTTTAATCCCACAAACTAAAGTTTATTACCATGGGCCCAGAACTTCTTTGTTCCTCATTTTATTTGTTTGTAAAGTGGGCATAATAGTTGAACTTGCATTTGAGGTTTGTGGCAATTAAATGAGTTTATACATTTGAAGATTTTGGAACAATCTGGTGTAAATCAAGCACTTTTCTAATTGCTTTTATTATTTATTTTATTATTTAGCATTTACTCACAAGCAGATCATTTTATTTTTCCACACGTATTTATTATGAATACAGTCTATTTCACTATGTTATGTTCCTTGTGATGATAACTAAGAAGACGACATTAAAAAGACGTAATACCAAAAAAAAAAAAAAAAAAGGCATAGTACCAATATTGTAAGACTGTCTTAGCCCATTTGGGCTACTGTATCAAAGTACCATAGACTGGATGCGTTTTAAACCGCAGAAACCTATTTCTCACGGTTCTAGAAGCTAGAAGTCTGAGATCACAGTGCCAGCATGGTCAGGTGAGAGCCCTCTTCCTGGTCTCAGACTGCTCATTGTGTCTCTACATTATGGAAGGGGCAAGAAGCTCTCTGGAGGCTCTTCTATAAGGGCACTAATCCCCTTCATGAAGGTTCCACCCTCCTGACCTGATCACCCCCCTACCTCCTAACACCATCACCTTTGTGGTTAGGATTTCAGCCTAAGAATATGGGCGTACACAAACAGACCATAGCAAAGATTGTACAATTTAATGGAAAGATAAATAAAAGGTAGAGTAAGAACACAGGGAAGTGAGCACCTAAGTTTATCTCAGGGCATCAGGGAAGGCTTCCCAGAGGAAATGGCAATAATAGTTTAACTGACAAATAATAGTACCGGTAGTCAAGAGTGTTGGCTGCAAATGACTCAACTCAGACTTCTGTGGAAGGAGGAATTTATCACCTTACTGAGCATAGATGTCAGAAGACCTCTCGGTAGGTGTGATTAAGTTTGGAAACAGTATTTATGTCTTCAGGATTCTCAACTTCTGTCTTCCCTCCCCGACTCCTAGACCTTCTCGCTGTCTCCTCCCACCCGTCACTAGCCCAGTTTCTCCATCCTTTGGTCCTATATTTTTGTCGTTTGGTCTCTTTGTCTCCGACATCCCTTCCCTTAGCAGGAAGGAATGCCACCAGTTGTCCCCAAATCTTATCCTTCCAGCTTCATGACTTTAAAGGCATGTCCTCCAGCTCTAATTAAAAAAAAATACTGACCGACCACCTGCAGTGGGCCAGTGAAGTTTCTGTGATGAGCCAGGAGGGTGGTGTGCATTGTGTTCCTACGCTTCTCACTGAGCTAGGGAGGAGATATTTGTTAACCCACTAGAATTTACAAGGAAGAAGAGGAGAGACGACCCTGAATAAAACAGGAGTGAGAAACCCAAAAAAACAAAAAGAGGAGAAAGGAAAAGTCCATCGCAGTTACTAATGCTCAGTGAGCACTTGCCATGAGTCAGGTACCGTACTGTGTACTTTACTCTCTCTCACTAGGCCCCACAGGTCCCTTGGGAATTCCTAACCCATCGTACCCATGGGTAAACTGAGGCATGCAGTGTTTACGATGCTGCTAAGTGTCAGAGCCCTGATCTAGATGGGAACTCTCCACCACAGACCCCCTCCTAAGAGAGAGGGCCGAGTGGTGTTGGCTAGGGGTGTGCGGAGAGGAGGAGGGGGTCGCTGTCCCACAGGCATGGTCTCCCTTCCGCGAGGCGAATGCAGTTCTAGATCCGCCGTACAGCCCTGGTCCTTCAGCTGTCCGTGCCGAGCGGTGTGCTTGACGTTGGTTAAGAGGGTACGTGAGTGGGTAAGTGTCCTCACCGCGATTAAACAACAACAAAACCACACGCACCAAGTGACTTAACACCTTCTTTCAGGCGTCGTACAATATTCTGCTTCTACTGAGGCTCGAATGGCACGTGTTTGTCAGGAGAAGGAGCAAGGAGCGGACGTTCTAGGCAGAGGGCCCAGCGTGGGCAAAGGTACGGCAGGAGGAGACGGTGGCCCTGTCGACAGCAGTGAGCCTGGCCCGTCGGCACGCGGATGACCGAGGGCGTGTGCCGGGGACAGGGCCGTGCCAGGAGGGGGGACCAGGAGACCTAGTGTGGCTTGCAGGGGTGGAGCCCACGGTGGGGCCGTGGAAAGTGGGCTGCAGGAGAGATTCAGCTAGAAGGATTCATAGGGTGTCCTGACACTTTGCATTTGGAAGGAACAGAGGGAGGAGTCGGGGTGGCTTGGGTGTTTGGCCAGAGCTTAGAACACAGCTGAAGCTGGCAAGGACACCTCTATAGCCGTGCCAGCTTGGTATGGTGGCGGAACCTTCTAGCAGCATTCATAAACCCATTTATAGATAAAGAGCAGGAAAGCGTTGATTATTTCAGCTTTGAAGTTCGGTCGGAAGCAAACGCTGGTAAAACAATGGAGAAACGAATATATGTAGCAGGTACAACTTGGGCAAAAAGTGTATGTAAAAAACTGTCTTCTGTTTTGAGGGCTGGAGTATACCAGCGGTCGATTGTTGTTTTAAACTTGGAAGTAATGGTAGTAGTAACTGGGAAATTTTAAGAACTCCAGAGAAGTTTCATGGACTCAAAAGAACAGCAGCTCATGACTGTGGTTCTTCATGCCTCCGCCCCGTCAGTGAGCACTTGTGCCCCCTGTACCCACATCATCTTCGTACTTGTAGCAGAACTTACCTTTCTCTAGTAATTTCTTTTGTTTAGAATCCCCTCCCCCTCCAACCTGTAAAATCCTCAGGGCCATTGTCGCCGTCTCGATTAGGAGGTCCAGCGATGTGAGTAATGTGTGGAGGGCCTGGTGGCAGATGCTCACCAAAGGCCCACAGATGAGCACCTTGGGGTCATTGAGGCAGAAACCAGGCCACATCTGGTGTTTTGTTTTTTATTATCTTTTTGAATGCTGAAGAGTTAATTTCTCACAAATTCAAATATACTAGGTGCTTCCAGGATGGTAGCTACTTAAAAAACAAAAACAAAAAACAAACAAACAAACAAAAAACCTGATGATGAACTATTGCTTATCTGGGCCTACTGGTACACAGGCCTGTGTACTGGTGTAGAGAAGGGCTGTGGGCTTCTTCTGGACTCTGTGAGACAGGGGGCCAAGGTACACAGGCCCAAGAGGGAAGTATCAGGGCATCCTGGTAGTCGTTGAAGATGTGGGCGTTCTTTGGTATGCTCACCCTGAAACATGGTATTTTTCAACAGAAAACAACAGCAGCCCTGAAGCCAACAACCATATTAAGCCTTCACCTCGGCCACGGAGCATGTTGAAAAAACACAGCCACGGGGAGGAGAAAGATGGGCTAGGAGAAGGTGAAAGCCCTGCCCTCCGTGAGGAATTGGAAGCACGTTCCGCTCCTTCTCCCCTTCCAAAGCTAAACAACAGACAACTGGAAGCTGAGAAAAAATTGGCCTCCGAAAACCTAGATCCTAAGGTGAGCGCTACTGCTGAACTGTGTTCTCGACCTGAGGTCTTTGCATCTGATTATGAGGAAGAGATTGTGTGCACGCGCGTGTGTCTTTGTAGGTCTGTGCGTTTTTACATGTTTCCTACAGCAATTGATAGGAAATAACTTAAAGACATATTTTTTTAATGTACAGTATTCCATTGAGTCTAAAACTTCACCAACTGTGGGATACCGCAAAACTGTAGCGTTATTTTATGTATTGCTGAGAAAGAAGAAAACTCTGCCACTTAATCCACAATATGCCAGTAATTATAAAATGCACCATCCGATTTCAGAGAAAGTAAAATGTGAAAAAAAAAATTGAATCTATGCAATGCTGTCTGTCTTTAATTCTAAGAATTTATAGTTTTATTCACTTTGAATTCTATAATTTATGGCCAAGGACAGTTCAGCCAGTGTCATTTTGTTCATTTGGTTTTATTCACTCAACACACGTATATTGAATGATCACGGCACTGTCCTGTGTTTTGGGGACTTCTGCCAGGATGGGAGTAAGTGTGGTTAGTGAACTTCCACTCACCTTTCAGGAGTCAGCATGGAAAGAACATTCCCTGTCCATAATCTGCTTGAGCAGATGGGGGGAAAAGGAACTGAATGTGTACCTAGTTAAGCTTCTTTTTTTTTTTTTTTTCATCCCCTCACTCTTCCCAGGATCTGGTCCCTGGGAAGTGGCATGAAAAGGAACTGGGGGCAGCTTCTTCCTGTTACGAGTAAATGAATAAACACTTCCACTTCCAACGGGAAATATGAGCGCAGTAGGCTACAGATTCAGATCTGGTTTTGTAGTTACCTTTGCCAGTAAAGCTGAAAATTTTATACAAGTCTATCTGACCACAATGTGCCATTTTCTAATTTGTTCTGGAAATCAAGAGAAGGGGGTCTCATCAAACCTGGTTATTTTTTATTTAGTAAAATTATCTTGTCAGATGGATTTTGTGTTAGTTTTGCTGTAGCTGCTATAACAAACTGCCACAAACTGGATGACTTAAAACAGAAATTTATTCTCTGAGTTCTGGAGGCCAGAAGTCCAAAATCAAGTTATGGGCAGCACCATGTTCCCTCCAAAGGCTCTAGGGAAGAATCATTCCTTGCTTCTTCCAGCTGCTGGCTGTTGCCAGAAATCCTTGGCGGTCCTTGGCTTTAGCTGCGTCACTACCGTCCTTTGCCTCATCATGTGGCATTTTCTTCTTCCCTGCATCTCAATGTGTCCCTCTCTTTTCTATAAAAAAGACACCAGTCATTGGATTTAGGGCCTACCTATTCCAGTATGTTCTCATCTTAAGTAATGCCATTTGCAAATACTTTATTTTCAAATAAGATCACATTCTGAGGTTCCGGATAGACATGAATTTTGAGGGAACACTATTGAATTCAGTGCTGATACGAACTTTGAATGCTCTTTGCTAGCATTTCTGTATCCTTTGATTTAAGGGGGAACAAAAGTATTCCTAAAGTTTTTAAAGTAACATCATATTATGACAAAATTTAATCAAATATGGTATCAACCCATAATCCTACCATCTAGTAATAACTATGTTTATCATTCTTTTTCCCTTTTAGGCTGTCTTTCTATACCTGATTTTATATTTGTCATCTTAACATAATGTTTGTATCATGCTTTTTCCTCATCTCTTAGCATTAGGTCATGAAGTTTTTCCATATAGCTGGTTGATCTTGAGAGTACATTCCCCTTACTGATTATAACATAGCCCATAATATAAAACTTGGATACTTTTATTTTTAGTAATCTAATAAGTGTTCCATATTTCTCATTATAAAAATCTTCCTGACTGTGCTCTGAATCTTTTTTAAACCCACCTGCTCAGGGATTTCCCATCTATTTTTTTGTTCAACTCTTCTCTCTCCTATATCTATTACCTTTGGCTCTTCACTGGAAAAGTCAAAGACTGGCAGGGTCTGTTTCCATGCAGATTTAGCTATGCTCAAGCCTCTTTAACTTTGTGTGCACTCTCACTTGATACCACGCCTCTCCTACTGCCTTAACCTTCCTGCAGATGTCACGGCTACATCTTGAAAGGGTGACATTTGCTTTCTCACCATCCTCAGCTCCCACTTTTCCTTTGTGTGTGTGTGTGTGTGTGTGTGTGTGTGTGTGTGTGAGAGAGAGAGAGAGAGAGAGAGAGAGAGAAGGAAGGAGATTATAGTAGAATATTTTATTGTTAATATTTTGTTAAGACTTCTACATCCATATTATAGAGACTATTTGTATTTTTTTCCTTATGATGTTAGTATCAGGCTTGGGTATCATATGAGTAGGGGAGTGTCTCCTCCAACATTATTTTCTAAAAGTTTGTTTCATATGAAACCAAAAGTTGGCTATCATTTTTTTTCCCCCTTAATTGAGAGAATTCACTGGTGAAATCATCTGGGCCTGGAATTTTCATCGTGGAGTGATATTTGACGGTGAACTATATTTTTGATAGATATGTTGGTATTCAGATTTTCTATTTTATCAATCTGGTAATTTATTTCTATTAAGAAATTTGTCCATTTCAGCTGAGATTTTGAATTTATAAACATGAGGTTGTGGTATTCCTTCATCCTTTTGATGATGATGGAGTTATCATAACATTCCATCTTTTATTTCTAATACATAGTTTATGTTTTCTGTCTTGTTAAATTTTGATAGACATTATGCAGTTTTATTCAACTTTTCTAAGAACCAACTTTGACTTTGTTAACTTTCTCTGTCGTTTCAAATTTCACTGATTTTTATTAATTATTATTATTATTACTTTCTTTGGGTTTAATTTGCTTACTCAAGTGCCAACTAAGGGGTAAGGGGTATTAGAATCTCCAGTAATGTTTCTGAATGTGTCTCTACTTTCCTTTAGTTCTGTCAGTAGCTTATGACTGTTTCAGACACATACAGATTTATTATTACTGTGTCTCACCCCTATTTACGTTATGAAATGTATCTATTATTCGTAATTCTCCTTATCTTGTAGTTTGCTTTGTCTGATATCTCAGCTTTCTTATCACTGATGTTTGCATAGTTTATCTTTTCCTATCATTCTCTTCAAACTATTTGTGACTTTTTCTTTTTTATATAATTTGTATAATAACTTTTTTTAATATATATGTTTTTAATTTATTTATGATAGTCACAGAGAAAGAGAGAGAGAGAGAGAGAGAGAGGCAGAGACACAGGCAGAGGGAGAAGCAGGCTACATGCAGGGAGCCCGATGTGGGACCCGATCCCGGGTCTCCAGGATCGCGCCCTGGGCCAAAGGCAGGTGCTAAACCGCTGAGCCACCCAGGGATCCCCTGTATAATAACTTTTATAACTGGCGTCACCTTTTTTTTTTTAAAAAAAAGATTTTATTTATTTATTATTGAGAGACACCGAGCAGGGGGGGGGGGGAGAGAGAGAGCGAGGCAGAGAGACAGACACAGACACAGACAGGGAGAAGCAGGCTCCATACAGGGTCTCCAGGATCACACCCTGGGCTGAAGGCAGGTGCTAAACCACTGAGCCACCCGGGCTGCCCCACTTTTTTTTTTTTTTTAATCAAGTCTGACAGTTTGCTTTTTAGCTGTAGTCTGTTTCTGAGTGCTTAGTGCGATTATTTTTAACTTAGGACCAGTTTGTTGCTGTGTTTTCTATTTACTTATTTTTTTTAAAGCAGATTTGTTATTCTTCCTCTATAATGCTTTCTCTGCCTTTTTTTTTCTTTTGTGAGAGTTAATAACATAGGTTTTAGTTTCCAATTTTGATTTCCTCTGTTGCCTTCTTAGGTGTACTTATTTGTGTTATATTTTTAGTAGTAGCTCCGTGGATTATGAGATGCAGCTATAAGTGATCAGTCTACTTAGGACCAATACTGCACTATTTCATAATTATTTTAGAAACCTTGTAACGGTGTAGTTCCACGTATTCCCTCGTCCATCCTGCTTTTGTTATCATACACACTACATTTACAAATGATATAATTCCCACAATTCAGTATTACAATTTTTCTTTAAAGAAAAATTTTTGTCTTCAATTTTTAAAGAAATAAAAGAAGAAAAGAATAAATATTTACAGTTCTCTTAAATATATATTCCATTTCTGAGGATCTTTATTCCTTCCGATAGGTCCAGATTACCTTCTGGTATTGTTTCCCTTCAATTTAAGGAACTTATTTTTGCATTTTTTGTAATGCAAGTTTACCAGCGATGGGTTCTGTAGTCTTACTTATCTAAAAAATATTTATTTCATCTTCACTTTTGAAGGATGGCTTAGCTGAATGTATGCTCTGGGCTGACATGTCCCTTCTCACCCCCTCCCAGCCCTTTATGAGTTGCCGCTGTTCCCGACCTGTATTATTTCAGGTGACAAATCAGCAAGAATTCATTTTGTTGTCTTTCTATATATGTCTTGTTTTTTTTTGTTTGTTTGTTTGTTTTGTTTTGTTTTGTTTTCCCCTCTGGCTATCTTCAGGAATTTCTTCAAGACTTTTTAAAAAATTTGTATTCTAACAATTTGACTACAGAGTAACTAGGTGTGAGGCTTTTAAAAAATATTTATTCTGCTTGGGTTTCATTGAGCCTTCAGGATCTATAAACAGGTACTTTCTATGAAAATGGGAAGTCTTAAAATATTTTTTCCTGCCCTAGTTTTCTTTTCTCTCCTTTTAGTGATGAAATCCTTAATATGTCTCATCCAATCTCTAAAATTCTGTTTGTGTCCCTTTAGTCTTTATTGCCTTTGTTTTTCAAACTGAACAATTTGTATTGCTCTGTCACTGTTCCCGTTTCGGCCATCTCTGATCTGCTGTTGCCCATCCAGCAAATTTCTTATTTCAATATTGTATTTTCCAACTCTATAATGTCCATTGGTATTTTTTGTGTTTTCCGTATCTCTAAGATCCCCATCTATATCAACCTCCATGCATGCATTTTCTCTAAGTCCTTGAACATATTTACAATACCTACTTTAAAATCCTTGTTTGGGGATCCCTGGGCTGGCACAGCGGTTTGGCGCCTGCCTTTGGCCCAGGGCGCCATCCCGGAGACCCAGGATCGAATCCCACATCGGGCTCCTGGTGCATGGAGCCTGCTTCTCCCTCTGCCTATCTCTCCGCCTCTCTCTCTCTCTCTCAATGTGTGACTATCATAAATAAATAAAAATAAAAATAAAAATAAAATAAAATAAAATCCTTGTTTGCTAATTACAACATCTGGGTCATCTCTGGGTTGGTTCCTAAGGACTATTTTTACGGGTTTTTTGTTTGTTTGTTTTCAAGAGTATGCATCACCACTTTCTAGTTCTTCATCTATTTAGTAACCTTTTGTTTGAATACAAGATATTATGAATAATATGTTATAGAGATTCTAGATTCTGTTATATTCCTCTGAATACATGCTTTAGCATATAGATATTGTGGCTGGACTCTAATTGCCAACTCTGTGTCTCTTGCCATGGATGTCAGCGGAAATCTTTGTTTACTTCTTTCAACTTCTAACTACTATAGTTTTACAGGATCTTCTCTGAAGTCTTCTCCATGCCATGCACAGATGAGCAAAGGGCTTGGGGTGAATTTTATATGCAAATTTTGGGAGTTCTTCCTCAAACTTACTGGCTGATCTTTTAGTCCTAAATTCTGTCCTCCGTTCCCTTAAACTAGTCTAGTAAGGCTGCAACTCTCTACCACTTGAGCTGCACAGATGAGTGAATGCACTGGGATAAAAAGCTACTAACTTGCCCGTCTCATCTGCAAAGCTTTCCCTCTCAAGGTACATTCCTATGTTCCCGCCCTTCTGCCCGCTTCTTAGACGGTTTCTATTTATTGCTTTGGACAAATAACTGTCTTTGTGCCATAAAATATTGTGTAAACAAAAAATAGAATTTATTATTATACAACAAAATCAAGCTTCTTACATTATGATGCTATCAACTTTATGCTAGATTACTATTCGCTAAAAAGATGGTTAGTTCAAACACACACATACCATTATTTTGTTTCTGATATAATTTTCAGAATTCGACGGGAAATCAAGTACATGACATTGATGCTTTTTCTCTAAATATTTGGTAGTAGCTGTCTACTTAGTTTTTATAAAAAAAAAAAGAAACTTGCTTTCTTTTGGACAATTAGTAATATTTGACACCAAGGGTTTTTGCCTATTGTCTCCTTTATGCTTTCTTAGAAATAAGAATTAGAGAAAAAGATGCCAAATTTTTGTATCAAATATTTATGATATTTGATTTGAGAGCAAGAGTTTGGAAAAATGACTGAAAACAAATATTGAGATGCCGGTGAAAGTACTAGAATAGCTCTTTAGTGACCCTTTTAATGATCCAAGACATCAAGGCTTGAAAATAAAGCATGTTAGCTTCCATAGGCTTAATGCTTTGGTGTTTCAGTAGCAAACTTGTAATAATGATGATTTCAGAGTTTTAAAACAGTCTTAATAATGCTATCTATTGCCCTGCCACAAATCTTGAGAACTAAACTTACATAGTAAATACTTTTTTTTTTTTTTTTTTTAAACAGGATCCATGGTTAACAAGTCTATCATCATCATCCCTTAAAGAAAATCTTGGAGATTCCTTTTCACCAGAATCTGGGGGAAAAGCATCCGTAGAAGGTGATTCTATCAAATTATTACATCTTAGTTTATGTGTGAACTCTGTATTACTTAGAATCTTATTTGTAAAAGAAAGACTACATAGTTATAGGAATGGCACTTGTTTGCTTTTGCTTCAGTTTTAGTCCCAGCTTTGCTATTTACTAGCCATGTGGTTTTTAGATGCAGAACTAGACACAGTTCTAAGAGCAAAGTAGCTAATCTCTCTGGCCCTGTATACTCTTTAAAATGGGGATCCTAAGAGCAACCTACCCCAAGCAGTGGCTGTGAGAATTAAATGAATTAATGATACATGTAAAGCACTGAGAACAGTGTCATAGTAAGCATGGTATAAGTGTGAGGTGTGAGTTGTCAACTTCTTTCTTTCCTTAGCCCTGTGACTTATAGCTTAATGAGATCTAAAAGGCATGGGTGTTTTTAAGGACCGAGATACATGACATTTATTAAGTGCTTACTGTGTAGGATAATTTTTGTCATTTTACAGATGAGAAAAACTGAAGTGCAAAGATAATTGGGAAACATACCCAAGGTCAGTGACAGAGCCATAATTTGAATCTTTGGCTCCAAAGTCCTTGTTCTTTTTACTGAATACATTGATCAGCAGCTCTAAAGAATCTATTAATGATACTTGGAGTCATGAGTGCTCTCCAAATGAAGATGAAACTCTTATTACAAAATTATTTTAAATCCTGCTTACTTCAAAATGGGTTTCAAAAATGGCTGTAATGAAATGAGCAGAATTAAAATCTTTGACAGTAAAGATACAAGGTTAGCCAGTAGGTGGCTCCCAATGGAACTGAAGTTGGTGATCATTGATTTCTTTCTGCTGAAAATTCCAAAGTGGGGTAGACAGAATAATGGAAATAGTTCTGTAATAGCAAAACTGAATCGTCTCATGCCGGAGCTTGAGACTGTCCCTTGGAGCACAGAAAGGATGAGTAATAGGCCTGCCTTTAGTGCGCCTATGGTATATCAGAGGCAACACTGCATCTTAGCAGGAATAGCACGGTCTATAGGATGGATTTATTCTGTGTGATGAGTCTTCTTAAATTACATGAATTCTTGGTTCTCCTGCACCTATACAATTTTACAACTGTACCACTTGTACTTATAGTAACGGAGATGTATGACTCCTGCTTACACAGCCTCTTGTTTCAGCTAAGAAATACTGGCTTTGAATAGAATAGATATTGCTATCCTACTTACTTGGAGCTTCTGGTGTGTCTTTGGTTTAGGGTAGTTATTCTATTGCATTTACAATATGATGTTTTTTTCCCCAAGTATTAGGTATGTCAAATGTTTTGGTAGATTGAGTAGCAATTTTCTCTTTCATAGATCACTTTGGAGAAAAGTTTATTCAAGATGAATATAATTGCTCTCCTTGTATTTTATTCTGCAAGACAAAGAGATTACAAACAATCCTCATTCAGTAGAAAGCAAATGATTCTGTTATCCACCTTACTAGTTCAGAAGGGAGTTTTAGGGTACCTAGGTGGCTCAGTGTTTGAGCGTCTGCCTTGGCTCAGGTCATGATCCCGAGGTCATGGGAACGAGTCCTGCATCAGGCTCCCTGCATGGAGCCTGCTTCTCCCTCTGCCTATGTCTCTGCCTCTCTTTCTGTGTCTTTCATGAATAAATAAATAAAATTAAAAAAAAAAAGAAGGGAGTTTTAGTTTTGTGATTCTGTCTCAAAATAGATCAGAATGAAGAACTCACTGAAAACCACAATTCCTTGAAATCAAATGAAAATGAAGAGAATTCATTTTTGATAGACTTTGTTACTACGCCAATCGAGAAATCCCAGGAAAGTCAAGTGATTACTGATGACCTTGAAGAAGAAAAGGAGAAAGCTGAACTGATTATGAATGACTTAACAGTTGACCCACTATGTAAATCTCAGAGTATCTTAATATCTACTGACACAACTGAGTCTTCAAAGGTATTTATATGAAATTATACATTTGTACTACAACCTAAAATTCAAAGTAGAGCTTTTAAATATTTGATCCGCCACATTGTGTACTTCTGAACTGTCTGTGGAAAACTCTTTTGGTAATGGTATGTTGTCAGGTAGACATCGAGTCAGTAGAATTTTACTTTGGCAAAGGTTTGCAGTGAATATAATAAAAGTCAATATTTCATTAAAAATCAAAGGTTTATCAAAGGTATATGATCATAATATACTCTTAAACATCTCAGAAATACAAACTTATAAGTAGGTAGGCTTCTATAGGTCTTCATTTTATAAAAATGCAGCTATCTGGAACAATTTCTGAGATTTTGAATTAGTGAAAATTACTCCTTTAGATATCATTTTTAAACAGTTTACAATTTTAAGGAAGAGCTTTAAGAAATGTTTATCAACATCTTGCTTGTTTAAATGGATGGACAAGATCATTTTCAGAGACATCATCATTATTACCTTGAGAACCAGATTTATGGTGTATAGGATTCCTTGTCACTATGCTATGTTGTACCAGAATACTATATTTTTTAAATGTATGCTATAACATTTTTAGTCTTTATGTCTCCTGAATGTAGTTTTTATTCCTTATAGCTCTAGTTAGCTGATGGCCATGTGTACTTACTGTCGGGGAAGATAACAGTGCTACTTGAATACTTGTGGTTGAATAGGACAATATAATACAGAATATTTGCACTTTGTATTACAATTTATGGAGAAGGTTCATGAAAACACGTTCCCGTTATATTGTTCATAACCACTTTCCTTAGGAAAAGTCACTCATGATAAGTTAGCAAAGTGCTTACATCTGTGCTGTCACTTCAGTGCTAACTAACACCTGTCTTTGTAAAGTAGAGAAGTTACTCCTTAAAAAGAAGGGTATTCTGGAATGTACAGACAGGATCCTAGAAATGTCTGATAGTGTCTAATAGATGCAGTTCTAAGAACAACAGGCAATCTCTGTATAGCAGGTGAGATCATCACATCTGTTTTGAGTCCTTGGCTTTGTCTTTATTCCCTCCGGAGGGATCTTCTTCAAGTCTGAATTACATCATTCCCCTGCTAAGGTCTCTTGGTTGGATTGGCCTCAGAAGAATAAAATGCAGACTCCACCCCAGTTCCTCATGACCTCACGTGATTGCTTCTCTGACCACTTATTTGTCCATTCTCACTGCTATTCACTGTGCTTCAGCATCGTTCACCTTTTTCTGTTTCTCAAAACTATCAGGCTCTTAGCATTCGCTGCTGCTTTCTTTCCATAGACCTTCCTTCCCGGGGCTCCTTTCTTCCCCTCATTTGTCTTAGCGCGGCTGTCAAGACCTCAGGGAAGCCTTCCCTGATCACTGTCATTATCGTAACCCCTCACCCTGGTTTATCTCCTTCATGACTCACATCGGTTTGGTGTGTCATGTCCCTCAACCCTCTCTAAACTGTAGTATCCTTATTTGCTTTCAGCGACCACTGTACTCGATGCATGGTAGATGCTTTAGAAACATTGATTTCCTGGCAGTTTGGCCCTAAGCCTAACTGTGATACTTATGGTGAATAACCCATCTATGATATATTCTATTTTACAGAAAACAATTGAAGATAGAAATATGAAGAATAAAAAGTCAACAAATAATAGAGTGTCCAGTGCCTCTGGCAGGTAATAAACTTTCGGTATCCCTCATTTATGAGTTTACGTTCAACAAAGCTAGTTTTAACTTAGACATAAAGTGAATTTCATTTGTATTATTTGATTTTGATTAAACTCCCATCTCATGAAATGAATGAAGTAGTCACTTCATGATAAAACGCCTCAGCTGATCATATTCTTTTATGTAAAGGAGTTGATTAGGGGTTCCCCGTACTGTACATTCCTAATGGGATAGCATTTCTTTGCTGTTTTTCCAAAGATGATATACAGTAATGAAGCCAATGTCCAGCATCATTACACTTCTCTATTAGGTATCTTTGTCTAACACATGAAAATTTTACTTAAAACCTTGAGATTATATGGACTAAGTTGATTTATTAAAATGATAAGACATGGGCCACCGGGGTGGCTCAATGGTTGGGCATCTGCCTTGAGCTCAGGGCGTGATCTTGGGATCCTGGGATCAAGTGTTGCATTGGGCTCCCTGCATGGAGCCTGTTTCTCTCTGCCTGTGTCTCTGCCTCTCTCTCTCATGAATAAATAAATAAAATCTTAAATTAAAATAAAAAGATTGGACTCTAAATTGCTTCATTCACACTGATGATAATGAATGTCTCCCTCATAAATGCTAATCAAACCTTCTCTTTTAAATTATCATTAATCAAATAAAACAAGAGCCAGCAAACTTTAACTGTAAATTGCCAGTTAGTACATGTGTTAGACTTTGTAGGCCAGGCAGTCCCTGTTGTAACTACTCAGTCCTGCTGTTGTGGCAGGGAAATCTCTGTGGTGCAATAAACTCACGAAATAATCAAACTGTACAAAACTGGACCATGGGCAATATTTTCCTGCCAACTCCTGATAAGACTATTATAGTTAGAGTAATTTTTCTAATAAGGTGATACATAGAAGAGATTAAAATCTTCTTTATTAATATTATTTTTTCCATATAACTTTTAGATATAGTCCATTTTTCTTAAAAATATTCTAATTACAAGTATCTAGAAATAGCAGTTTGAAACTCTTAGTACACTAAGAAAAGACTATCATCATTTTCCTTTTTTTATCATCCTTTTCAAAGTACTTGTAATTTATTAATTTACAATGTAATTTCAAATATAGTAGTTGTATATTCTAATGAATTTTCTGATGAATTTTTCTTCTACCAAGTGCAACTGTAATATTTTATTTTGATTTATTTGGATTTTTTCAGATTAATGACCCCTGAGTTTTTAAAGAAATCTAGTTCTGTACGGAGACCTCCATCGACAACTACCTCTCCTCACTACTTAGGGACTTTGAAAGTCCTGGACCAAAAGCCCTCACAGAAACAGAACATAGAACCTGAAAGAGCAGATAGCATAAGGGCGGCTGTTTATCAGGTAAAAGGAAAACATGTAACAAAAAATGAACTGATTGCGTAACAAGGTTACCCGTTCACCAGGGAATAAAATGACCCTATCAGACACCGTGGTTTAATATTTCCCCTATTGCAAAAGATTTTCCTTTATAGGGATGCCTGGGTGGTTCAGCGGTTGAGCATCTGCCTTTGGCTCAGGTCATGATGTCGGGGTCCTGGGATCGAGTCGCACATCAGGCTCCCCACAGGAAGCCTGATTCTCCCTCTGTCTGTGTCTGTGCTCTCTGTGTGTCTCTCATGAATAAATAAATAAAATATTAAAAGAAAAAAGATTTTCCTTTATAATATCTGAGAACCCAGAGTATTTTTTACTAAATTATTTCCTTCCAAGCTTTGCTTAACTGATCATAGTTGTTTAAGAGAATATACCACAGTACTTTATAAAAATACAGTAGAAGCAAAAATGTGGTTAATGTCTATATATGTTTTTATACTTTTTCTTCTTAAAGTGTATATTGTTAAGAACAAAAAGAGTTTTACTTTTTTTCTGGGCATTCTATTTTCATTAAGCTTACACAGAAAAAGACTTTCTTGATTTGTCTTCACAATTCCAAAAGAGGTTCTTTTTTTGGTCTAGTTGGTTATACAAAACAGTACACTTTAGAAAATTGTACTTACAAATTTTGGAGAAAAAATGTTAACTTATGTAGCCATTATATTCAATATTTGAAGTCTGTTGTTAAAACTAAGAAAGATAACATATTTTTCTTAACTCATGCTCGACTTTAAGTATTAGAATATTATCACAAAAAGGAAGCATGATACTGGCTTATATGGAATTTCTAAATTTTGTTTTCCTTTTTAAAAATGTATAGTATTTCAGAAATGAATAAGAATTCTAATTCATTTGGGAAACTGAGCATTATATACTTTTTTTCATATTTTCTCAGGAGTGGCTAGAAAAGAAAAATGTGTATTTACATGAAATGCACAGAATTAAAACGATTGAAAGTGAGAACTTAAGGATCCAAAATGAACAGGTAATCTGACATATAGAAGTGGAAGTTTTTCTGGATTTTTAAGTCAGTAAAATATCTCTCAGTAACATTTCTAAAGCCACTGGTTTTTAAATGGCCAAATAACATGTATATAAAAGAATGGATTTCTGATTTCCTTTCTCTGGTACTCCATACATTTCAGTTTGACATAAATATAATCATCTCGCAAGGAAACAGATACACAGAGATTTGTATTTTGTGTGTGTGGAATAGACCTGACACTACTGATTAGGAACATGTGATTGCTTCTGACCACCTATTAACTCTTACTTCACTTTTCACTATTAAAAGCTGACTTCAGTCTTATGACTTAGCCAAGAATGGGAAGGGTCATCAGATATCCACCTCCGGTTTTCCTCTTTTCCGTCTTGAATTTTACATGTGTCTTTAAGACCAGCTCTTATGTGAGCTCAGTGCCAACACCTTCATGTGTGATTTTCACACCTCATGGAGGGAGCTTGTACCTTTACTCCTAAATTGTGTCTTCTCTTTGTAAGGCTTTATGTGGTGCAACATTACACAGAATTATTAGGCAAAGGATAGTGTGGGGTTAGATGGAGGTAGGTCAAGTAATAACATACCTACCGTATGCTCACCAACATACAGGTTCAATATTTGGGCTCTGCTTATGTTGTAGCAATCTTATGATTTGAGGTCCACCAAAACTCGGGTTCAAAGCAAAGATCTATTTTGGCTTCCTAAGTGGCTTGGCCGGGTTACCCTACTCTGACTTACTTTATAAACCTGTAACTTTCCTGATACTTTTCTTGTGATGGAATGTTTTATTATGAGCATTTTGCAGGAGCACTCAGCCTTTATAGTTTATTTAGGTAACATTTTAGTACGCTTCCAAAAAAGAGGTCTTTCTCATAGCAGATCAATATGTGATAAATGGTTTTAGAAAAGGATATTTTAAAATGCAATGAATAGTCCCGGTAACATTTTTTATTTTTCCAAATCAGCTTGTCTAAACTATTCTAAATGAGTCACCTGCTCTGCAAAACAATGTCTCGAAATGATGACTATGAAGGGAATTCAGCACAATCCATACGTGTGTGTCGTACCTACCTGTCTCCTTCTGTTTATACACACATGACTCACTGTCTCTTATTTTCTTGAAACAGAAAAGAGCTGCTAAGAGAGAAGAAGCATTAGCATCCTTTGAGGCCTGGAAGGCTATGAAAGAAAAGGAAGCAAAGAAAATAGCTGCCCAAAGAAGGCTTGAGGAAAAAAACAAGAAGAAAACAGAGGAAGAAAATGCTGCCAGAAAGGGGGAGGCGCTGCAGGTACTCAGTGGCTTGGAGTCCCCGCAGTCATCATTTCACCATATCAGACACCTGCGTTCGTGTCTAGCTGTTTCTCTCTTTACTTGATCGTTTTTCACAGTAAATAAGAGAATCGTTATGATCTTTTTCAGGCCTTTGAACAATGGAAAGAGAAAAAGATGGAATATCTTAGAGAGAAAAATAAAAAGGAGAGAGAATATGAAAGAGCAAAGAAGCAGAAAGAGGAGGAAACAATTGCTGAGAAAAGGAAAGATAACCTAACAGCCGTTGAGAAATGGTAAGAGGTCAAGTGAGAGCTATTTTGATAGATTTCAAGTGAATAGCACTTGAGGCTCCTAAAAAGATTATATGCTTCACACTTACTAATGCATTGCCATCTCATTACTGCAGAAACTTCATTCTCCCCTTTAACTGTCCAGTGTTTTATATTATCCTACACAGGAATGAAAGGAAGGATGCTTTCTTCAAAGAAAACGAGAAAGTGAAAATAAATGAGAAGAGAAGAGAACTGAAAAGAGCAGAGAAAAAAGATAAAGATAAGCAAGCTCTTGATGAGTATGGAAAATGCCTGGTAGGTGTTGTCTGTGAATGCACTTGTGCCTTGTGAATGCACTTTATTTGTGACTTTTCTGTCCCTAATTCCAGTTCTCTGTGCCCCTTGCCTACTGGCCATTCTTTCCTGAAGCTGCCTTGTGGAAGCTTCTCTCCCCAAGTCTGTCATATTGTCTTTGATTTCCTCTTCTCTTTTGAGGCCTCCACTCTACCCTCAAGCGCTCCGACTTAAAAATCCAGGCACCATACTCTTCCTTAACCGCATCCCCACATGCAGTCACTTAGCAAACACTGAGTCTTGCAATGACTTCGCAATGACGTCATGTCAGAAATCATGGGACGCTGCCACGTGCATGCTGCCGGCCTGCCAGACTGTTTTAGGTGGGACTGGTCACGACACACTGTAATACTGAATTGAATGGTGAGAAGGTTGTTCCATCCTTTAAGTTGTCTTTTGATCCTTCTGATGACCTCAAGGAAAAGGTTTCATTTTGGTGTTTTTAAGTGAAAAAAAGTCAGTAGGAAGTTTGGGAGGAAATGTCAAGGCGATCTTAACATTATTTTGTTTTTTATGTTTTTTGTTTCAGTGTACTTAGGTTGATAGTTTTTTTTCGTTAATGTTATGCAAAGTACTGTTTTCTATCTTTAAATTTCATCATAAACATGCACGATTATCAAGTTTTGACTAAGTAATGCATCCATATGAATAAGTATTTTACTCGAGTAGGTGGCGCATTCCTATGAGTGGTTAGCACATCACGTGCCGCAGCAATCATAACGTGTACAAGTGCTCTGTTGGGTTTAGAATCCAGTAGGATTTCTTTCCAGTAGGATTTCCTGTCCAACTGTTTTTGAATTCACATCAATCTGCTAGTTAAAAATACTGTCCAGGGTATTTTGTGTTTGTGTTTCTCTGGTGGGGACTGAGCTTGAGCAGCTTTTCATTTGTGTAAAGGTCATTTCGAATTTTCTTTGTAAACTGTTAATCTTAGACTTTGCACATTTTTCTGTTGGTCCTTTTCTTCTTGATTTTTTGAAGCTTGTTTATATACTACAGCAGTTAGCCTACTGTTACTGGTACAAGTTACAAGGGCTTCTCCTGTTGCTTGTTGTCTCTCAACTTTGCATATATAGTATGTTAAGGCATGAAAAATTGTATTTATTTACTGGTGTCAAATCTTTCAGTCTTTTGGGTTCTGATTTTTAAGTGTAGTTGAAAAGACTTTCTTTGTAACTTGAGGTTAAATGAAGCGCTCCCATTTTTCTTCTAATAACTTTATGACTTAATATCTTGAACATTAACATTTGATCAGCTTGTAATTTACCTTGATAATGGTGGGATATATGATTCTGACTTTATTTTTTCCAAATGCATTTCCAATAACCTTTCTTTTACTCGCTGGTTTGAGGTACTGCCTTTGTTATATGGTCCACTTTCAGATTTTAGGGTGAGTTTCTTGACGTTTCTGTTCCGTTGGTCAATCTCAAATCTCACGGTACATATTCCGGTATCATACTATTTCATTATCAGGGCTTTATATGTTTTCATATCCATTTTAAATAATCTTCCCTCATAGTACTTTTTTCAAAGTATTTCTGTTATTGTTTACTTTTTCACATAAACTTTAGAACCCAACAGTAGCTAGATAAGCCTGCAGGATACAAAGCAGGCTATTTGAAGATAGGATAAAAACATGAAGCACTTAGGAATAAACTTAAGAAATGTGCAAGACCACCATGAAGAAAATTTTAGAACACTCCTGCAGGACACAAATGAAGACTTGAGAACATGGATTAAAATTGCTCTTGGATAGGAACACTCAATCTTATAATGATGTTATAGATGTCAGTGCTCCCTGAAGTAATTTACAGATTTAATGCAATCGTAATAAAAATACCAACAGAATTTCTTCTTGTTTACATGTTGATTGTAGGCCGGGTTTATGCGAATTCCATGCAGAAAAACAGTAAGAAAATAAGTGATCGAAATCAGTTGGATGATTTGAATGAGGAAGGTAGTGTTTCATGATGGCTTCATTAAACTCTCAAATAGTGTTTGCTTCTAAGAAAAATTAAAACTCTTCTATCAAGGAGACACATACCAACTGTGCTAGATCACTTAGGGCAACTAAATGAACGTGTCTTTCAGTTTTATTTTCACATACTCTTTGAAATGGAATAGAATTTTCTAAATTCTATTCTAATGTACTAAGTTACTAAGTACATTATGTTTTTTTTTACAGTATTTAGTCACTTTCTCATTCTAATCAATCCTTTGGAGAACAAAAACTCATCAGTCAAAGGCTTAAGATGAAAATAACTTGTTTTGATATGTAGTAGAACTTTGACAAATATAATGCTACTTATAAAAAAATCCATACACAATATGTGACAGATCTAGTCCTCCAACTTACCAATTTCTTATCGCAACTCGTTTGCAGAAAGAATGGAAAAATACTCCTAAAAAAAAAAAGAAAAAAAGAAAAATACCCCTATATGGCAGTTTAAGAACTTCAATTTTAATGTACAGTTACATCTCAAAATTTCTTTATAAAATCTGGCTTGAGTAATGAGCATTGGATGGGTTATTCTTTCAGGATAAAGCTACAGCCAAAGATCAGTAAGACTCTCTTTATCATGCTGGTTCCCAGGTTAATTAATAGTTACAGTCAATAAGAAAATGAATAAAAAATTCACTCCCCAACAGACAACAGTCAAAAGGACCATTTACCAAGATTATTTTAATTATTATTTGAGATAACCTTATTGATCATCTTAATTAATGTTGATAATTACTTGCTTATCTCCTATTCTTTCTTAGCACCTTCTAGTAAAAGCAGACTTGTTTCATGTTTCCCTTTCTCTCCCCATGGTGAATGGAATGGACAAAAAGTGGCTTGTTCAGTCAGTTTCTGGGACACAGCCTAGTTGCTACTTTTCTGCTCCCTTGCTGGAGGGTCTGGCACTAAGGTACTAAAATGAATGACAGTGGCCCAATTACAGTTTTGAGGGTTTGTTTCTCAGTTAGGATTCTGAAAGGAGATTCCGTCTGTGCTTTAGTAGGAGTAGCAAGATGAAACAAAATGTTAAGACAGAAAAAATGAATTTCATACCTCTTTTCATTCCTTTTGTTCTATGTGACAACTGTATGCTAATGGAAACATTGCATTATCGTATTCTGTTTGTGACACTGATTAATTCGTGCATGTGCTGGTAAAACAATCATAGACCCCTCACAATTTACCAAAATGCTGCCCCCACAGGTAACATTGTCTAAGGCTTTCTAGATCCTGGTGCTCTTCGAGAAAAATCACCAGTATGAGGAAACCACCAAACTTTATAGTGTTAGCAGAGACTTGGAGAAATGAAGAGACCATCTGAGCTGCAGGATGAGACGAGCAAGTGTTACTAACAGCTCAAGCTTTCCTAGATTAGTGTTTAAGTCTCTTAGTAATCCTCACATAGTCATTTCTTGGAAGGGAGTGTGTGCAGGGAAGCACAATGGTTCCAAAATTTATCTGGTATAAAAATGTGAGAATATGGTAGATAATATTTTCAAAATGAGATAAAGTGTAGGACTGTTCCCATCAAGCAGTAAAATATCAGTTTACCATTCCACTGTCCCGGAACCAGCATCCTTCTGTCTCGGATTATTCCCATCACTTTCCAGGAGGTATAATTCGTAATTCCTCATTTGCCTCCAGGGATGGTTCCACATTTCAATGCCCCCCCCTTTTTTTTTAATAGCTGAACTTCTGAAAAAAGTTTTATTTACACTTCTTGGTTCTCCATGCCCTTTACACCCTCAACACACTGTGGCCTCGTCTTTGAAAGTTACTTTTGCCAAACCATCCAGCCATCCCGTGTGTTGCTTTGGGCTGCACCCCCAGACCTCTCAGCCTTCAGTCACTTTCACCCTCTGGCACTGTCCTCTCCCCTGGGGACCCCACGGCCCTGGTTTCTCTCACTTCTCAGCCTGCCTTCTCAGCATCACTTGTTGACTTCTCTTCTCTTACCTGTGTTCCAGGTGCAGCCGAGGCCTGCAGCGCCCACAGCACCTCACTCACTGCCTCTTTATTCTCCTCTGGTCCCCCCTCTTGTCTTCTGCCCAGTTGGAGTCTCGGTGGCTCACCATGGCTCTGTCGTGGCCTCCCTATCCCACACTCTCCCACTTGTCCGAGTCCTCGCACATGCTGTTTGCTTGACTGAAACGTTCTCTCCTCGATGCCTACCACAAGGAGCTTGTCTTATTCATCTTTTCTCACTTTAAAGTGACTTTCTCTGAATCCACTTTTCTTGTGTTGTTTTTTTTTTTAAGATTTTATTCATTTATTCATGATAGAGAGAGAGAGAGAGAGGCAGAGACACAGGCAAAGGGAGAAGCAGGCTCCATGCAAGGAGCCCGACGTGGGACTTGATCCCGGGTCCCCAGGACTGCACCCCGGGCGAAAGGCAGGCGCCAAACCCTGAGTAACCCAGGAATCCCCCCTGAATCCACTTTTCACTGAAAGTGTTTTTGTTCCTTAACAATCACAACAATTTTATGTTCCATAGAAATTCTCACAATTTGAAATCATCTGTTGTTTATTAACTGCCCATTTTGAAAATGACCTGAGGGGCAAGGACAGAATCTATGTGTTTGCATTTTAGAATCACTTTTTGCGTGGCCCCCAGTATACTGCTTGACCCAGAGTAGGATCTCAGGGTTCAACAGTTGAGTGAATGAACACAAATCAAAGCGGTATAATACCCATAAAATAATAGACCCCCCCCAGGACTTTTCAGAACTGGTTACATGTAAGGATGAGCTATATATTAAAGTAACACAAATTAATAGATGCAGGAAATTATAACAATTTGGCTTATCTGAGTGACATTTGGACATGAAATCACACAAAGAATTACCCTACAGCAATAGAAATGCCAAAAGCCCTAAAGCATTAAATAGAAAATGCCAAACAATAGAAGAACTGAAAGAAAATAAAACCCTATCAGGATGCCTGGCTGGCTCAGCAGTTGAGCGTCTGCCCTGAGCTCAGGGCGCGATCCTGGGGTCCCGGGAACGACTCCCACATTGGGCTTCTTGCGAGGAGCTGCTGCTTCCTCTGCCTGTGTCTCTGCCTCTCTCTCTGTGTGTCTCATGAATAAATAAATAAAATCTTAAAAAAAAAAACACTATCAGGTCTCATGGAGATAAGATACTTTACTTTTGTACCTGGAAAGGGCTGTAGAAATAATAAAGGAAAACAGGAATAGAAACGGAATTTAAAATCATTAATGCATTAACATAAAAAGTCAGTGCAGGGCTGTTTGGAGGGTGGATTCCTACAGCTGCTTTGAAAAATCAGTCATTTCCCAGGAAAGTTGAATATACTCGTATATGCAGACCAGCAGTTTCACTCCTAGGCATATACATGGAGAGAAAATCTTAACTTGTAAGTACAAGGACTCAAACAGGAATGTTTATAGTATTGTCTTTGTGTAGGGAAAAAACCCATCATGTTTTCGACAGCAACAAAAATAGGTTAACAAATGGTGGTAAGTTGAACTGCTGGAATTCTATAACTATTCTATGGGATATCACTGAATTCGAGCTATAATTCGCATAGGTGGATCTTAGAAATATTGAGATGAATAAAAAAGGAAGTTGAAAAAATATGTAGCCAATTACCTTTTACTCTTGTAAAAACATGCAAAGAAAAATGGTTTGTTTGGGGATTAATACATTTATAACATAAATATTAAGAGATGCACTGGACTAATTATCATCAAATTGAGAGTAATGGCTACCTCAGTGGGGTGGAGAGGAAGGAGTGTGATGAAGGAATGAACACAGAGACCTTTGAAAGTATTGGTTGTGATTTTTTTTTCATAAAAAAAATCGGTGGGCACGCAGGTTTTGACAAACAATTGACTGAAATATTTCTTTTTTTTTTCTAAAAAGAACTAAAAGGAATGTAGATAAAATGTTTGCTGCAAGGATAATATTTATCACATGAAAATATACAAATTGCTACACATTAACAGCATTGATACCCGTAGAGTTGGATGAGCCAGATAATTGAGCAAAAAAATCCACAAAAGGGCTAAAGAAGTAAAAATGTGCTCAAGCTTAATAATAAGAAACATGAGATTTAATTTTCGACTATTTGTAAAAATTTTGACGTATCCGTTATCATGACATAGTCAACCTTTGCAGTAAATTGAGTTCTGAGAATCTGTTCTCAGAAAGTCATCAATAACTTCTCATAATTATTCTCTTTGGGTTATGCAGTTATAGGTCTTTTCTCATTTTTTCATAATTTTGTTTAAATATTATCACTTTTAATATTAAAAAATAAGTGATCAGGTGGTGCATTAATACCGGTTGGTGGTATACTTATAAGTGAGCAATGTTCTCTAGCCGTTATTCCTTTCAAATAGTAGGAAATGACATTTAGATGTCTTATAATACATTTCTTTGTTCTTCAGCAAGCAACCTGATTTGAAAATAACGTTCACATGTGTATATAAATGTTTAGTTTTCTATTTTTCTCTTTAGGAAAAGAAAGAAAGGCAGGAAAGAATTGAACGAAAACAAAAGAAGCGTCATTCCTTTCTTGAAAATGAGGCACTTCCTCCTTGGAGCCCTCCAAGCAGAACTGTGTTCTCAAGTGTTTTGATAATTCTCATTTTTACACTACTTAGTTATTTATCAATTCACCATGTAGTCACTATTTATTCAATTAGTTATAGTTAAAAGACTCTATTTTAATTAAATGCCAGCTGTTTCCACTGACAATGGAAAAGATTATTTGGGGTTTAATCGGTGAAATAATTGCAAGCATTTTTTGAACTGAAGGTAAAAACTGCCTCAAATGAGAAGCTAATAATCAGATTGCTCTTACCATTCAAATGACACTTCATCATGTCCTTCGGTCCTTACAATCAGATGATCCATGATCACTTTCACTAAGCTTTGCATGGTAATTAAGTGTATTTATTCCCCAGGATAAAAAGGAAGCCATCTGGGTACTACAGTCATAGAAATAATTGAATCTGTGAATGATTGTGCACCTAGATTCAGGTTTTAAAGGGAATCCTCACTGGGGGTATGCATATAAATATATAAATATATATATATATAGACACACACATATATTTTTTATTTCTAAAACTGATCTTTAGCTTTGCCTTGAGCAGTTGCACTTGGACTGTGCAGGTTAAGAGTTTTGGTCAGTTGAGGCAGTAGTTCAGTAGAACTCAAAACAAGGCATTTTATTTAAGAAGTTTGCCTTCTATTTTAAGATGAGTTTTATCTGTGCCAGACTTAACGTGACAATCATAGGCACTTTATAGTGAGTAGACCTCTGAAATTTGTCTTCTAAATTCTAGCTCACTTTATTATTTCAGTGGTACCAAAAATATCCATTTCTTGGTAGTGATAGACCTCCAGGAAAGTTATGGCAATTCCATAAGAGTTCAAGGTCATTATCACTGTTAATAATTTTTTCCAGACTAAAGCCATAAAGGTGATAAAGGCAATTTTTGAACTCTTAGCTTATTCCAGAGTCTTATAGCTTATATTTAGAAGATAGCTGTATAGAAAGGCAATTTGTAGAAAATTCCCAAAGAATCTTTATTTATTTGATCACTGCTTAATTAGACTCCTACTTGAACTGGTCAGCTACACTATCACAGGCCAAATGTATGTGCTCAGAGCTGAAAGACTACTTTAGCCAACGATGTGATGCAACGATGGAGGAGAATAATTCCTATGTATTAAGCACCCGATGTATGCTCTCTGCTGGATCTTTACAAATGTGAATTCTTATCATTCTAATACTTATTCACTGTAGGTGTTATTTTGCAGATAAAAAATACTGAGACTCGGACAAATAACGTGCCATATATTTAGCATGTGACTGAGTTGGGATTAGAATTAAGTCTTTCTCCCTCCCAGAATCCATATGCTCATTTTTATGCTCTGTATTTCCAAACACATTTTACCTCTCAGATCTTGAAGTCATGTATTGTTATCTGGAGATTATCTTTCCTTTACGAAGTATTTGTTTATTATTAGAGATGGTCAACTTTATTAGATCTGTAAAATGAAAGAAGAGTCCATAATATTTAAAGAATTCATCAAATGCCTTGTATCTAGTATTAGAATATCAGGAAAGCCAGCAGGTTGTGGAACGTAGGCTTTGAGATAGTCATTCAGGAGGTTCCACTGTGAGGATTAAGTTCCTTGTGCTTTGTGTGCAGGATAAAGGTGCCATGGGTGACTTTCTAAGATCACATCACTGCTACAGTTAAGTTTGTTTTAAAATTATGAACAAAACTAAAAGCTGCTTTATACCTCCAGGAACCAGGAGAATACTTCATGAAATTGAAATTCTTAATACTCATTGTGTTTTTTCCACATGGGATTTAGCTCCTCTTTCTTTTCACCAAATATGTATATAGTGCCCACGCAAATGAATCGTTGTTTATGGTATCGAATTAGCTATTCACAGCTAAAAAGGTATTTGCAGATTCCAGGGAAGTAAAAGGAAAAAAAGATTATGAGATCATAAATGTATGTGTCATAAATTTCACGTTAAATATTTACTTAAACTTCCCAATTATTTTTTGCCTTATTATCCTGTTTAGGGCTTGCTGTTACCACTTCTCAATTCTTGTGAGCACTGGGTGAAATTACTAATTAATGTAAGCACATGGCATTGTGTTCATTTCCTTACTGTCAAGAGCCCTGCATTTCCCCACTTCATGGATGTGAATAGGTTAACATGGGTGGGTTTTTGGACGTATTTTTAGCGTACAAGAAGAAATCTGTGATTTCCTGGCCAGCCTAGCACTCAAAGGAGAATATGGAGATGACCCATATTAGGGAGTTCCTAAAAGGAAATCTAAATTCTAATTTCTTAGCACTGCTTGTAAAGTAGGATGAAAAGGAAAACTGATGTGTTTGCAAAGACCCAGCAAGTCATTTTCCTCAAATGGGGAACTTTAATATGGAGGAATTAAAATTCAAATTAAGGATATTAAAAGCCTATAGATTTACAGATAAAACTTCTAGTTTTGTAAATTGTATTAATCACTGGAATGCTGACACTTCAGAGTAAAGAAAGTAGGAAGTTCATGAATATTTTAAAGCTGAAAACAATTTGCCTAGAAATTTACATTTCAAGACAAAAAGTCAAATTTTATAAATAATGTATTTTCCATAACAACCAAGAAAGCAGTGTTACATAAATAAAGAGAAACTATATGGCATTTTAGATCAGAAGGAAGAGGCAGTTCTCTTAAGATGAGAGTTGTTCAGGGACAATAACATTCCAGGGGTTTGTATCGCATCACATTTTGAAAATGTTATTGTTTTCAATGGTATTGAAACTGATATTTTTCACTGTGGCCAAAGCACTAGCTGATAATAGCTAAGGTCCAGAGTTGTATTAACTTAGAGTGCATCTAAGTGCATCTAAACTCTAAGTGCATCTGGAAGGCTTAATAGTAATAAAACTGCCTCAAACACTCTAAGTTGAACCAGACAACTGACATGCCGGAACCCATACCACTAATCATAAGAATCTGGAGTTAGAAAACAGGTGTCCAGTTTTCTAGTTGTAACTTGCCCACCACTCCACGTAGTTCTGAGAACCTGGTAAAAGATGTCACGCTAACTTCCATAACCATGGTCATTATGGACTTAGTTCATTTTGATCCTCTCAGATGGTCCCTTATTCTTCAGTGCCTTCCCATAACCCCACCAGGTCAGGGGTTGGGGCACCTCTATGGGCACCTTTGTTACTACTTCAAGGGTGGGAGAGTACTGAAGGTTCTCAAGCCCTGAGTCACAGGTGAAGGAATTTCACAAAATGGGGGACAATTGCATATTAGTCAAAGTAGTTCCCAATGAAAAACTAGTACAGAAAACAAATTTTCACGATGTCATCTTGGCTCTAATTCCAATAGTGCTATATTAGCAGGTATTCCAACCCGTGAGCTTCCAGAATCTACATCAGTTGCCCGACTTCCTAGGTACCTTGGCTGACCGAATAATGAATGCTATGTAAATGCTTCACTGGTGACTGCCCTGAATTCTTGTTGTCTTAAAATTTTATGTGATTTGATTATTTTGAAACATGTTACATGTAATTGTATAATGTTAACTAAATTATTGGTATTAAATTTAGGATGTTGTTTTAAGAATTACTTGAGGAGATGTATTTAATGTCTGCTTTTTAGTAGCATACTTCATGTTAACGCTTAATTAAAGTTAGCCATTCAAGAATTATCGGGTGATATTATTTATTGATTGCGCCAGATTTCATTTCATGATTTTGGATAATGTGGTATGAGTCTTATTTGTGGGCTAACAATGAAATAATCATTGCCATTTGCAGCAGCATGGATGGAGAGTATAATGTTAAGCAAAATAACCCAGTCAGAGAAAGACAAATACCCTGTGACTTCACTCACATACAGAACTTATTAAAACAAAGAAAAAAAAAGGATAAACCAAAACACCACACTCTTAACTATGAGAATTAACAGAGGGTTACCAGAGGGGAGGTGGGTGAGGGGACGGGTGAAATAGGTGAAGGGAATTAAGAGTACACCGATCACGATGAGCACTGAGTAATGTATAAAATTGTTGAATCACTGGGCACCTGGGTGCCTCAGTTGGGTGAGCATTGGCCTTCGGCTGAGGTCATGATCCCAGAGTCCCTAGATGGAGTCTGAGTCTGACTTCCTGCTCTGCTCCTCCTCCTGCTGCTCCCATCCTTGTGCGCGCCTGCACTCTCTCTCTCAAGTAAATAAAATCTTAAAAAAAAAAAATGTTGGACCACTATGCTGTTTACGTGATATTAATATAACACTATGTTAACTATACCAGAATTTTTTAAAGATGAAATAATCATTATGCTGATATACCTTCTACTAGAAATGACTGAAAATCTTCAAAAAATGACTGAAAATTTGAATTCAAACTTCTTTTACTTGAAATACTACCCAAATTACAAAGGTAATGTAATTATAAAATTACCAAATATTTAGTGCATGTAACAAAAATAACCCATCCCATCTCCCCAAAATAATCATAATGAACATATTTTGTCCTCTTCCAGCTTTTAATTCCTAGTGCTTTTTTTCGTGTAGTTGGAATTGAGCAAAGAGTGAAGAAATTGGAGATACAATTCCCTCTCTCTCTCTTTCTGTTTTTCTGTCTGTCTTTCTCCCATGCTACCTATGTGTGTATACGTATGTGTTAGATTTCTGCATATATCTCCCTCCATATATAGAAATACAATACATATGCATATATTCAAACCTTTTTATTTTAAATAGAAAATGAGGTCAAACTGCATTTTTGGTTACCAGAGTTTTCCACCCAACAATATATAATGAACATATTTCCATGTTATTATGCCTTTCTAATAATATTCGATGCTGCAACTACAATTCAACCTATTCTGGGCAATTTGTTTCCTTATAAATGTTCACTCTAGTAAATAATACAATCAACATTCATGTAGTCTATCCTTGTTTTAAGATGTGGACCTCATTAAATCTTTAAAATGAAAAAAGAATTAATATTTAAGGAGTTAGTCAAATGCTTTGTATCTGATATTAGAATGTCAGGGTGGCATCTGGGTGGTTCTTGTCACTTAGGCATTGGACTCTTGATTGTGGCTCAGGTCTTGATGTCAGCATCGTGAGGAGCCCTGCATTGGGTTCCTACTGAACCTGGAGCCTGCTTAAGATTCTCTCTCTCCCTCTGGCCCTCCCCTACCCACCCCTACTCCGGCTTGCTCAGTCTCTCTAAAAAAAGAAAAAAGGGAAAGCCAGCAGGTTGAAGAATAAATGTTTTGAGATAGTCATTCAGGAG